AAGTGCAACAAGCAATAAATAACTTATTTAATGAATACAAAAAAAAGTTAGACCTCAGTATGAGCAAGTTGGTGAAAGTAGTCAAGTGAGCCAAATGTCACAACCTACCAATGATGAAAGTGAAAATGAAATGACAAAAAAGAAACAAAGCTTTAAGTCTAAGTATAAGAGGTATAAGGTTAAACATGGCAAAGATGAACATAAATCATAATTGGCTAAATATTTGAGTGAAAAGCTTGATGATGATGCTAGTGATGACTTTGATGTTTAAATTTAGTGGAAACTCAATAGCCATAGGTTTCTTAACTTTTCCCATCTAGCTCATGATGTATTGGTAATCTTCATATCCATAGTTGCTTTTAAATCTACTTTTAGTATCAGTGGTCACGTACTTAATGTATATAGGAATTCTTTAACTCTTAAGATTGTGCAAGCTTTTATTTGTGCTCCAAATTGGTTACATGCATCTTATAATCTTGATTCATTTCAACTTGAAGATGATCTGACAAAGTTTGACAAAATAGATTTGGGTAGTATTTTATTTATACCACCATTTATTTTTAAGTATTATTATTTTATTATTTTAATTGTTTAAAGTTTACTTTTATTTTTTTATATATTTTTAGATTTACCAAAGATTACCTTGCATCGGGTAATTGATTAAGAAAAAGGTTTATGGACCATTTGAGGCAATTTCATTGTTAATTTCAAAGAATATTTGCATTTAGAAAAATACTTAGTTATTCTTTTACAACTAATTAAGGTTTTGATCTCTTTAACATCTTAGTAAAAAATAAAGAATGTGCACCAAAGCTATAGGGTTCATGTATGAAAAATGCTATTGGAACTTAGAATGTCCTTTAGTTAGTTTGTTTTATGTTTTTTATAAACTTTTATATCCATTTGCCAACTTGGAATGTCCTCGACTTGTTTATGTTTTGTATGAACTTTTATGTTAATTTACCAACTTGAAATGCCAAACTCTTGCCATGATAGCCTAGGTTTAAGCATCATATACCTTTCAAACTACACTTCTGACTTTCCTATTAAATATATAGCTACTATTTCTAGCTTTCGGGTGCTTAACTACCCCAAAAATAGTAAAGTACCTTTGACATTTCTTTAATATCCCTCATAAATTCTCATCATTAAATATTAGTAACTTTATTTATGGCCTAGAACCAAATGCATTCACATTCATCAGTGAGTTAGATCCTAAGGCTAAGTCTTAATTCTTAATAGTAAGCATACTACTTTAAGAATTCTAAAGGCTAGCTTCCTAGTACATAGGTAGTATCTTAAGGTCATTTTGTTTATAGCTATACTTAGCATGCTCATTAATCACAATGATTTCAACAGGGTTTTTACCTTACCTTTTGGCTAGCATTATAGATGTAACTTATGAGCTCTTTGCTTGATAGATCCCTTTAAATTTTGATTGATCTAGATTCACTCCTTTCTAAAACAATGAGTCAAGCATCTTGTTGAAATAATTTTGACTTTCTAACACTATGGCTTCAATTTCTTTCCTTCTTTCCTTTGATCCTTCCACCATTTGGGAATAGTATTTTTAGCATCTTTCATGCTTTCTAGTTGATTTTGTATCCCTTGGACAGTCAATGTTGTAGCCTTCATACTTTTTATCTGTTATTATAATGTTTGCATATACCCATGCAATGTGTTCAACTTGGTACCTCCTATAATAACCAGATGCTTTTTATATTTTTTCAATTTAATATTTGGATCTTAACTATTCTAATGTCAATCTATCATAGATTTAGACTTGGTAATACTAATATTAAAATGAGAATAAGAATAGAGAATAAAAGAAGATGAAGGATATACTTAAAGAATAAAAGTAGAATAAGAAAGAGAATTGATATTTTCATTCATAAAAATCCTATTGTTTACAACCTTTTTCTATGTATATGCCATCATGGCTACATTTCTACAAAAATGTAAATCCAACAAAATTACTGAATTATTTCATAATATTAATTGGACAGCTACTATAATCGACTTTGGCAGCTCTCTTACCAAATCCTATGTATAACTTTTTAACGATTGACTATCAAATCATCTCAATTGGTTACACCAATTCTTCTACCAACTTTTACCAATTAGCTCTTGTTTCCTCCGCTCTCAATTTGATTATTTTCTGTTTCAGCTCCATCTCAACTTTTTTCCTATCATTACTTCCCATGCAATTTAAATTTCTTTGTCCAACTAGCTTTGTTCTCCATCTATTCTATCACATATGCAAACTTGTGATTTGAAATATTAGGATCATTTTATATAGAGTGGGCTTTTTATTTTTGATTAGAGGCAAACGAGAGCTATGTTTTCTTTGAAGAATTTTATAACACTTGGTACGTAGACCACTTTCTTAACCCAAGCATTTTGCTTTTGCCATTAATTTATACCTTCATGTGCTTTACCCACTTTTATAATAGATAATAAATGGATCGTGTCGAGATCAACTTGGATCGTGCATCGACTCACGAACCCTTCTAAGTGCTTGTGAAAAGCCAATAAGACAAAGGACAACATAGTAAAACCCTAAAGCTCCTGTTAGAATTTTATTTGGGATAAAAAAAAAGGAATTATAAATGCACCCCATTTAATACTATATATACCCCAATTCAAAACTCATTTTCTTATTTCTACTAAATACACCTCAACCCTAACCTTTTTATTTTTCATTCCTACCCTTTCTCTGTTATTCTCTTTTCACTTCCTAAAACTAAGCTTCTCAAAAATAAATATTTGAAAAACTTTGAAGTTTATAAAAAATGGATATTTGAAAAACTTTAAGAATTCTCGGATATCCATTTTAGAGAAGCCTTATGAGGCTTCTTGGATCTCTATATTCGAGAAGCTCGATTTCACTTTTAATAAAAAATCTTAATCATATGCTTATGAACCTATTTACTTGATTATGTGTGTGAATAGAATTGAAATCAATGTTTTCAATATGCATGGAATAAACTGAAATCGTTTTCATGGTTTTCTGGGCTCAAGACAAAAATATTTTTATTCCATGCCTACTTAAGAACTTAGTCTCTTTTATTCGCACATATAATCAACTAAAAATGGGTACATCGATGACTCTTGTGTGTATATGTATGCTAGTTCGAGCTTGAACACTATACAGAACATTTTCATTGACAATGTCACTGGTAAACTAGTAAATTTGATAATATCTAATTTTTCGGTCATTAGTCCTTATTGTCAAATTTGTCAGTCTATTGATAATAATTTTCAGTGACAAAAAAATTAAAGATCCTTATTTTTTCATTATCTAAAGTTTATAATTAAATATATATTTTTAAAAAATATTATGCATTTTTGAAAATGAATTTTTGAAAATATATTATGACTTTTAGAATTCTATTTCCGAAAAAACAATATAAAATTTTAGAAATGAATTTTTGAGAGATTTTTTTATTCTCAATAATTTATTTTCGAGAATTATATTACATTTTCAACAATTGATTTTTGAGAGCACATTATAACACTTGAAAATTTATTTTTAAGAAATAAAAAATGATTTTTGAGTATATAAGCTATTAAAGATATTTTTATCATTTATTAAAAGTTAAAATTGACATTTAATATGTGGGTGTTTTTAAAACAATTTTTTTAAATGTATGAAAAAATTTTTGGTGGTATATTTGGAAAGCCCCTAAAAGGAAATCCAGATTGTAAAGCCATGAAAATTCACTTGTATCCCCACCTATCCAATGGGTCCGATATATCCGAATGAGATCCCCTCCCTCCAAAGTTTGATCTTTTAATATCATAGCTACACAGTCCACAGTTGAAACCCAAAACTCTTAAAAAAAAAAAAAAAAAGAAACAGGAAAACTCCAGAGTCAGATTCAGAGAAAGTGAGAGATACCCTTGTACTGAGAATAGAAAGATGATAGTGAGCAACCATGTATGTGGTGTAGGGCAACCAATCTCAATGCCTCAGCTAAAACCCTTTTGTTATATTGATTTCTCAGCCAAGAAATCATCCAATTTAAGCTTTGTTCTTGGTTGCAATTGGAGTTTTTCTACCGCTCAAAACAGGCCTTTCTTTAGGCAGCAACCCGAGAATTCTTCTATGCGTTGCTGCTGCAACAACAGCTATAAAAGCAACAACCCCAACAAGAATAATAACATCAGTTCTTCTTCTGAATGGGATTGGAATCGATGGAGCCGCCATTTCTCTGAAATTGAACAGGCTGAGAGCTATGCTTCTGTTCTCAATGTAACTCCTTTTGTTTTCGTTCCCTTTTTTTCTAAGTGTCCTATATGTCGGTTTTTATTTTGTTGAAGATTCGTAGTTATTTGTTATTTAAAACTTCCATCTTTGGCTACCCATTTCTTGTTTCTCTCTAGTCTCGATTTGGTTGTTTCTTGTTCAATTTGTGTCCCCATGTACGTATTGCCCCCATTAAGTACTTCTAAACATCAGAAAATGAGAAATAGATAGCTTGCCCCCGGAGTAATAACTTGACAGCATATAGAGCTGCATGTAGCTTGTGCACTTTTTTACCTTTTTTTTTTTTCTCTTTTTTCACACGTGGGAGAAGAGGGTAGGAGGAATTGCATTGGTCTTCGTATGGGAAGAAATAAAAAAAAGAGAGATGATTCTTTTGTTATTCTTTTCATAAACATGAAAAGTTTTTTGGTTATTTGGGGGGGAGGGAATTGAAATCCCGCTCTTTGAGACAGGAATACATGCACCTATCACTGAGCCAAATGCATGGGTGCATAAACATGAATGCTTTTTGCAGTGAATTTTAGACTACTTTATATTGCTGTGAGGTTTTACATCCTATGGCTACAACTGCATAAGTCGAAATGAGGCTCTCAGGTGGCTTCACTTTCATTTTGTATTTTACAATTCAATTGCACTAGTTATGCCATGTATGTTTATATGTAACTATACAAGTATATGCGTATTGCATATATATATTTTAATTCTTTTTTTTTTTTTTTTGTCTGATTGAATGCTGCACCTTGTAGTCCAACTTGAAGATGCAATCGATAAGGAAGACTTTCAAGAAGCTGCAAAGATAAAGCTTGCTATTACAGAGGTTATTTCAAAGGACAGTGTAGATGAAGTCATGTCTCAATTGAAGGTTAGAGCTTGTATGAGCCACTAAAATAAACCATGTGCATTGCATGTGGTATGCTTTGGCTGCTAATGTAATCTATTGTTTATCTGCAGAATGCCATAGATGAAGAGCGGTACCGTGATGCATCATGGTTGTCTAGAAATACAGGAAGTGGACTGGTAATTTCTTTGGTTGCTACTAACTCTTATCCTGGACAGTGTTCTTTCTAGTGAATAACCTCCAGTGAAAATGGTCAAGTAACACATCAGCACCATAGCTGGCCTGGTTATCAAGTATTGGGTAACTCAGGATTTAGGTTCTACCATTGTTCTTTTTTATTAATAATCCTTCCTTCTGGTCACTAGTGCACTGTTTTAAACATAAGACTAACAATAGACTGTGAACCCAAAGCTTGGAGATTTTTAGATTTTTGAGAAAAATTTTATGAATGAACATAATGGTAACCTGCAAGCGTCATATAACTGTTTGAATGGTGTTTCACTTTATTAATATTTAAATTAAGCAATCACTGAAATGAAAATTTTACATCTGTAAGGGTGGATGACCATAAAGCTAATTTACATGGTAATATTTTAAATGAATAGCAGGGAATAATGAGTTTCTGTTTATCCAGGGGTCTTGTATAATTAAAAAAAGTTTCAGTGCTTCCACTTTTAGGTAACCATTACCTGAAAGAATAGGAAACTTGAAGAAAACGAAAGTAAATTTGAAGGTTAGGTCATATAAATCTGTAATGATGAATTATATGGTTTGCATTGTCTGTTGATTGCTAAAATGTTTGTCAAGGTCAAATAGATTCCATAAGAACACAAATCTTAAGATATGTTTTTCATTATGGACTCGATGCTTTGCATTGTCTGTTGATTTCTAAAATATTTGAAACTCAGCACAACCACATAGGACTGCTACCAGCCCAGGAAACCAGGCCTTTAGAAGATATCTCTCTCTCTTTGGTGTTAATTAAAGTTTTGTTATTTCCATTGGTCAGGTGGGGTGGTGGGTAGGCTACTCAAAGGACTATGATGATCCACTTGGTAGACTAGTGCGCATAACACCTGGTACAGGTAGATTTGTTGCTAGGAGTTACAGTCCAAGGTGAGAGAAATCTTTCTGTCAATGATTAAGGTTTGTTGTACTGTAAATTATTGATAACTATTAACTACTATTTGCATGCAGGCAGTTGGTCAGTACATCACCTGGAACTCTTCTATTTGAGATTTTTGTGCTTAAACAAGATGAAGAAACGTATCTTATGCAGGTGAAGTAGTAATGTACCTTAAAGTTTCTAGCTTAAATTGAAATGAACCATAAATGTTTATATTCTGGAATTTCAAAGACCTTATATAGTTCTTATATTGGGTTTAGTTAACCTCTACTTAGTGAGTGTGACCACATCTACTCTATTTGGATGGAGATGAGACTTTGAGATGTTCTTGTCTTTGGTAATTTTCGCATTTGTTATCCCTGATTGAAAAGTTACGCAAGCATGTGTCCTAACAACGAGCTCAGAGGTATTTTTCGAAGATTTTAAAGTTAAATTTGGTTTTTAATTTTTTTTGGCCAAAAATTGATTCTAATTATGACATATTCAAAATTTGGTGAACTCAGAGTACTCATTGATACCATGAGCATAATTAAATGATGTATATGGTGTGTTTACTTTGTATGGGTCTGTGCTGCTTGATATGAGTTAAAATCATTCAGTAAGACAGTGACTGGAGGACCTTTGGAGTTTCAATCCATGAGATATGTTTGGGCAACTGATTTACTGCCGAGGCTGAGCATCCTTTAAACTTGTTTTATTCCAGTGCAAGCAAGAGAATGTTCAACATTTTCAGTTCCTTAGTCATGACCATATATTCTGTTCATAAGTATCTATCTAATGCTGTATGCACCTGTTTTGGGCTTCCTCGGTGTATTGCTTGTTATCCATTTCACAAACACCACATTTGGATTGCTTTTGAATTAGTGCAGTGCTGTATGTCACTTCCTCTGCTTCACATCATGAAACAGCTTCTGATGTGTTTGTTCAGTAACTGAGCCTGGCTGCAGTCGGATTAATTTTTATGTGGGCTATTCTTAGACATATAATGTTGTTCCCGTGTAAAATTGGCACTTAATATTTTTATTTTATAGATCTATAAGCTTGTTTCTGCATGCATATATATGCCAGTCTTACAGCATCTCTTAACCATCGTGTGACGAATATCTAAACCAAGTGCTCTAAAGCTTTCTAATACAATTTATGGAAAATTGCTTCTGACTGTGTATCTATTGCAGGTAGTTTATTTGCAGCATGCAAAAGGAAGTTCTATGAATAGTACCAGCCCACATTCCAAGCCTACAAAAATCCCATCCACTTCTGAAGTTGAGAATCCATCTGTTTTAGATGTTCAGGGGAGTGAAACTAAGGCAGAAAGAAGTGATGAGAAGGGAAAAAATACTAAGGAAGCAACTGAGGAAGGAATAAAAAGTGTGATAAATTTTCTTAAAACTAAAATTCCAGGGCCGAAAGTCAAAGACATGAATGTTGATATTTCTGAGGAAGTAATAGCTAATGATTCTATGGAGCAGTTGATGCAAGAAGATGATGAGAAAACATCATCCACTGAGAATTCTGAAGATGAAACTAATGAGTTGAAAGAGATTCAACCCGATGAAGTTGCTTTGGGAGAGGGTAGCACTCCTGAAGAAGAAAGCAAGGATTTGGATATGAAACTTATTATTGGTGGGCTTGTACCTAATAATGACACTCCTACTAAGGATGTGTATGTTCATCTTCCAGCTGATATTAAGGACTTGGAGAGAGATTCTTTTCTGTTACATGTTCCGAAAAGGAGTTTAGATAATGACACCGGAGAAAGTATAGTGTCCAAGGTGAAAATAGCAGCTATTGCAGCTCAAGGTGTTTCTGAGCTTATGCCTCCAGATGTTGCCAATGCATTTTGGAGTTCAGATAAGGCTTCTTCTAAGGTGAGATTTAAATTTAAAATACTGGATTCAAATAATTAAGATTGGGATACCAATAATATACCAACATTCTTCTCATTGGTGTTATATCAAAGTCTTTTTTAGTGAGATAAGCATAACGTAAGTGAAGCACTGCAGATGTTTGATTCTAATAACGCATTCAACTTATAAAAACTAGTAATACTATTCCTGCTGTTGGCCATTAATACTTATCGAATTATATTGTAATCACTATGCCCCCTCTTGAGTATAATTAAAGTGTTTAGTAGCTGCTTTATCATTACTTTGTCCCAAATCAGAAATAGGAAATGCTGATTTTGATTTCTAATTTATTTTCCTTAAAATAATGGACATTGTGTTTGGAAGCTCCAAATTTAATTATAGGTTGACATTTAATAACTGAGTTTGATAATTAGATGACTAACTGTTAACTTTATTTTAGGTTTCTAGAGATGTGCGCAAAATTGTCAAGCTTGCTGTTAGTCAGGCTTGGAGGCGGAGCGGATTATCTGAGTATACAAATTTTAATCGAATTAGCAGTGATAATGGCAATTTAGACCCATTTGAGGGTGGGTATTCTTATTGTATCTTTTTTCTTTTTCTCCACATACAAGCATCTTTGATTGATACCAGCTTATTGAAGTTTAGGCCTCTATGTTGGTTCATTTGGTCCTTATGGAGCTGAAATAGTTCAACTGAGGCGTAAATATGGCCGGTGGAATGATGCAGATGATGAATCTTCAGCTGTTGAGTTCTTTGAATATGTTGAAGCTGTTAAGCTTACTGGCGATCTCAATGTTCCTGCTGGCCAGGTCTTTTTTCATTTTATTGTTTTAAATAAATCTATTGATAATTGTCCTGCATCTTTCTAGCATGTGAGCACATGTTAATATTATGTTCAGTTAATGGAACGTGCATTTGGTAATCAATATGCCTTTTACATCTTTAGGTTACTTTTCATGCCAAAATTGGTAGGGAGAGTCGCCTCCACAACAGTGGGTTGTATCCAGATGAGTTAGGAGTGGTAATTACTCTCTCTCTTGTTTTGTATGTTTCAAAAATGGTGTTATTTAAACCACACTTTGCCTGTGATTGTCACTATGGAAACAAGCTGATCTGTGTAACCTTCAAATCTCATTCGTTATGATAAGAATGCAGAAAATCTGGAGCATTCATAATTCACTAATGGGAGCCTTGCAGCTGTATGAAATGAAATAAATTGTCATCCTATATCGACAAAAAGCAACTTTCCAGGAAATTATTTTATTATTCACATCTATCTATTGGACTTTTTGGTAACGCCTTAAACATGCTCCAATGCTCATTCTGACAAAGGTGGGTGCTCAGTTATTGAATTCATCAAAAAAAAAAAAAAAAGGAAATCCCTTTGGTTGCATTGTGAGAAGCAATGTCTAACTAATATATTGTGTTCAACATGAATGATATATGTCAATATATTGACTTTGGTGCAAATTTTGCCCAAAACATCTCCACCATCTCATTCAACTAAATGGCCTTGGAAGGGACTCTAGGACCCTTTTATTGGTTACATTAATTTGGACCTTTGAGACATCTAATTGATGGGGAAAACTCTAAAATCCAGGTTGCATGTTACAAAGGTCGGGGAAGAATAGCTGAATTTGGTTTCCATAATCCACGATGGTTTGATGGTGAGCTTCTCCAACTCAATGGCAAGGTAACAAAATTGTTCAGGACTTTGTACTAATATGATGTGACTTGCAACTGAAATTATTTTGTTGATTTTCAAAATCCCTGTAAATGGTCATATGAAGGGCATTGGACCGTATGCCAAAGGAGCTGATCTAGGTTTCCTTTACATTGTCCCTGAGCAAAGTTTCCTAGTGCTATTCAACCGTTTAAGATTACCAGATTGAGCCTAATTTATTACCGATTTTAATCACCTTTGACACAACAAGAGATCAAGAATCTGATGCTGAGGAGATATTTTGTGTACCATATTTGAGAGGACAATGCTGTCTTATACGATGTAAGCCTCGTATTTTTTTTTTTTTTGGGGGGGGGGGGGGGGGGTGTGGTGGTGTGAGTTGAAGGGGCTGAATCTGTGCTTAGCCCTATTTCCATCTCCACTCGTTTGATGGTGTATATCAATTTTGCTGATTGATAAAATAGAATAAGGAAATCTGTTGATTATCTTCCTTCAGAAGTTATGCAATTCTTCGGAATATTGCTTTGTATGATTCCCTATGCATCCTGCAATTCTTGCAAGTTTCAAGAACACGAAAATGCACTGAACACCTGAACACTGGCGTGATTATCCGATCAATGATGATAAATGACAAATGCGGCCGTCATGCACATTTCTCTCTATGGTTTGAATCACATATAACTGTCTTTCTCCTAGATGAAGTGGGAGCCAGACTGCATCATGCATCAGCAGGTTGCTTATTAAAAATCATTGATACATGATGGATATTGGTGTCAAGTGTCAACTATCACTGCTCATCCCATGCTTAAACCAATCAATTTTCACCAGAAGGTGGATACAAAAATCTTTTGGTTCTATAAAGTTAACTAAAAAAAGAGCAGAAACTGATGGGATTCTCATTTTGTTGTTTAAGCAATGAAGAGCAGAATTTGGTTGGAGATTTCATTATGTTGTTTAAGCAGTAAAGACATTGGATTACATGAAAGTCTAGAGATATCTGAGGAGAAAGAAAGCGGGAAGAATGCTTTACTGGTTTCTTTTTCATTTTTTGGTATATTCTTTTGGGTAAAATACACTATTGGTCATTAAATTATAAGAGTGTATTTAAAATGATCACTTAACTATTAATTTTTTAAATTTAATTACTTAAATTTGAGTAAGTGTTTTTTTTATCCCTCAACTGTTACTCTTTAATGATATGTTGATGTGATAGTGTCGGATTAGTTATCAAGCATCACATTGCATTATCACATTATTTTTCTTATAAGCTATTTGTATGTTATGCAGCATGATTGTTGGCACATGCTCACTAATGTGATGTAACTATCACATCAATGCACCATTAGAGATTAATGATTAAATTATAAAAAAAATATTTGCTCAAATTTAAGTAACTAAATTAAAAAATTAACAGATAAATGACCGTATTAAAAACACCTATATAATGAGATGACTAATTATATAATTTATCTTATTCTTTTTTAGACCTTGAGGGCTACTTGTGCAAGATAGGTATTGTTCATTTGCATGTCTTTTCTTTTTTTTCATTATTTTATGGATTAGGCAAGGGTGTTATTGATACCTAATGTTGGAGGAATTTGTTGAGACAAGAAAAATGATGTGAATGAAGAAAGACTTTATATATGTTACGCTTAAGTCAATTGGGCAATGGTCAACTTGGTAAGGCTTAGTCAATATAACCGTGCCCTTACGTCGACTAGACAAGGCATGCTCGTATAACTACATCACCTACTCCTAAGGAAATGGCTCACCTTTCACCAAATAAAGGACTCCCCCAAGATCCCACAAACATCCAATCAAGGTGGTCACTTCAAAATCGATAACTTGGCATCCAAATTGCTTAGGATCATTAAATACGACCCATATTTTCCTAGGATCATTAAATGTGACTGGCAACTACTCACGTGAACCCTTCTCGAGCTCTACACAAATATTCTATCAACTATCAATTATCTCAGTCAAGTTACCTTTTGGCCTCACACATAAGGTAATCGAAAGATTAGGTACGTAGGAGATAACCACTACACTCTGGGCTTTTCTTTCCATGGAAAACTTCCTTCATGCACTTCACTATGTCCAACATTTTTCCTTCCTTTCTTCCATACCTCAGGAGTTTAATTGACTTGAGCGTCAGAACGTGCCCTAGAGAACAACTTAAATATTCCTTGATCGTGTTTTCTAATTTCAGCTCACAATCATTTTCTACTTCACCTCCTTTCTTCTAGCTAAAACAACTTAAAAATACAAACAACAATTGCTGCCATTTGTGGAAACGATAGCCATGTTGCATCTACCATATTTTTCTAAAACTTTAACACCCACCATTAATGCTTTTACTCAATCTACAGTCATTACAGGTGCAACAATCTTTCTACCAACTCTTCAAATCCCATCACTAAACATTCCTTCTTTAAACTTTCTGTTCCCCAACAACACTAAATGCATGGACTTCATAACCCTTAGGATTTTACCAAAACTTGATAGTGGTTTTATCTCTAAATGTAACATTAACACTACCATTGGTCCACACCATTGTAATGAACCTTCAAACCCTGTTGCCCAACTACCCATAGCGTAAATCCTCTCATTACAATCCATTAATGCCAGCCAATGGCCAAACATTCCTCTTATGACTTTTACTAGACAAGTTTCACTTCCAATGCCACAAATCCCTATGTACCAACCTATCATGCAACAACTTTCTTTAAATTTTTACCAAGTCCTCATGGCTCATATACAATTCCTAAATGCTTAGGTTGCCACTCAACAAAAATTGTTCCAATAGTATTAATAGGCCACACAATACCCCCCCAAGAACAACACCACCCCAAAGAAAGCCCAGCATTTTTTTTTCAGGGAACCACCACAACCACCTCAAAACTTAATCCACCTTGAAAATACCTACCCCAAAACCATACGTGACAATAACACAATCATGATCGTAACACACAAAATCCAATGTCAAACTAACATATGTAAATTACTGCCCTATGCAAAGAACTAGTTGATATAAAAAAAAAAAAAGAGAAAAATAAAGATCTTCAGTGGCTTGAGGATGATCACAACCCTTTTACCCCCATTACCAGACAAGCTAACATTCTTACCTTTTTCAAACCACCAAAAGACATCTACAATTAGACTACCGGACCAAAGGACCATCTAGACCACTTTAGAATATTTATGGACCTACATAACGCTTTTGATAAGTGAAGTATAGGGTTTTCTCCACTATCTTACTTGAAAGAGCTAGGACATGGTTATATTCAATGGTCCCTACCACCATAGATAATTTTAATGCCTTCAATAGGCAATATTTGGCACATTTTTTGAGTAGTAGGGTTGATGCATGCTTTTTGTGAATTTATTAGCCATAAAGCAAAAACCTGAAGAGACTTTATGAAAATACTTAAAAAGGTTTAATGCAACCATTAAACGTTGAGTTGGCGATCCAGGCCTTTACTTTTGGAGTAAGGCATGCTCATTTAAGGTACTTATTGATAAAGAACAAACTAGAACAATTATACCAACCGTATGAAAAGGCTAGAAATTTGTTGAAATTGAAGAGATTAAGGCCGCAGATAGGGTAGAATGGTGTGACCAATGCCAAAGGCGTTCACAAGGAAAGAATAGGTAGATTGATACATCGAGCCAATGATTTCATAACAATCGTCAAACCCAAGCCTAGTAAAGAAGAAAAAACTAGCACAACAACAGCAACAACAGAAGCTCCTAAACATAGTCTAACCAATAAAGCCAAAATAGAACCTCGAATGCTATTAGTCAAGGTCTTGCTTAAAAGCTAACCAAAGAACTAATCAGGCAAGACCTCCAAGTAGATGCTCATTAAACCAACCCCAATAAAAAAGACATTATAACTACCATCAATTAGGGGGCATTCTACTGATAAGTATATTATTTTCTAGAAAGAGATTGAAAGATTGGAAAGCCTTATTAATACCTAACCTACCCTATAAGCTAATAAGCCCACACTTTTCCAAAACCATGAGAAAAATACTCGCTAGCAAGTTGAGGGCTAAACCTACCAGATAGAAGAGGCTCGCCAAAAGAAAGCTACAGACAAATTCTCAATCAACAACATCATTCATGTTATTGTAATGGCCATTGAGGATTGGGTGAATAGTAAATCAAAACGTAAGTCCTATTTACGTAATGTCATTATCATTGATGTTGCACTTAAAAAGCAGAAGGTTGAAGATTGGTAGGTGAAATTTTTAGAGAATGATACTGACATCCTTATAAATAATGGCAACAACCCTATAGTGGTGTCATAGTAATGATAGCCAACTATCAAGTATAACCAATATTAATTGATAGTGGTGGCAAAATTAATTTTATTTAATAATTGGCCTTTAAACAAATGGGGTTCATAGATGAAAATTTGAGGCCATTAAAGCTTATTTTTGGGTTTACTAATCAACTTATTGCAGTGAAAGGGTCTATCATTTTGCTAGTTACAATGGGGGTGGCAAACACGCATTGATGACATTGATAGAGTTTCTGGTGGTTAATCAACCTTCCACTTATAGTCTAAATTTTAGTAGGCCATAGATTAAAAAAACTAATATGGTGACTATCATTTACTACTTAAAGGTTAAATTTCC